CTTCCAGGTCACATTAGCCAGCAGGTAAAGCCCATGTCCAGAAGAAAACTCTCTCAGTGAGACGGCCTTGTTAAGACCAAAGGATTAAGGTTAAGCTTCTATGAAAACATCTGTGTCGGGATGCCCGCTAGGCGCACACGGTTGGCGAAGAGTAAGAAATAATTGGGAAGCATTTGTATCTCGTCGGTCTCTCGTTTTCTGTTTGTCCTGTGCCCTGGAAGATGCACTTGGCCTTTGCCTGCATTTGCGCGACGTGCAAGAGTTGCCGGCGGTCGCAGCAAAGCTGTACATGTCGTCAAAACAGGTCGTCTCCCTATCTGTGAAGTGGTCGCATCTTTTGCAGGGAATCCGCAGGCCTGAGCGTCGGCGTGACATGCGCCGACCACGATTCTTCAGGAAAGCCTCGCGTTAACCACGCAATGCAATGCGTGACATGACCCCCGTCATTTCCTCTGCACGATGCCTGAGCCTGATCTGTTGACGTGAGTGTCGGGACAACGAAGAGATCGCTGTGCTCGCAGGGCTCGCTGCGGTGGCCCAAGTGGGCAAACCGGCGGCTGAGAGGTGTTTGCAAGGAAGGACACGTCGGGCATTCTGGCATACAAAGGATGCAGAAGGCAAGATGCTTGCGAAAAGTCTCTCATCATGCAATCGTCTCTCTCAGACCCCAACACCGCCTGCCGTCGTCTGGGAGGCCCTGCATGACACAGGGCTTGTTCGAAATACGTGCCGTGACCATCCAACTGCAGACAAGCGCCGATGTGGTCGACTTGAGGGCAGAAGCCGAAGACCTTTCGCTTTACGACTTCGCATTGCATTGCGCCCTCTCTTTTTAAATGCAGCCTCTGCTTCAATTCCTTCGAGACCTTCAGGCAGTTCGGAGACCCACACAGCACTTTGTTTCTTATCCTCAGAGGCCCCGTGTTCAATTTGACGGCTTACGGCAGAACACCGTTGCATTCAACTTGTCTTCTTTCGAGAGCCCGCTTTAGTGTGACACCTGAGCATCTGCACCCCGCTTGAGCACTTGCAACGGCGGCACAGCTATCCTGCAGGTGCCATGGCTGCAGGCAAGCTCTTGCAAGGCTTCGTCAGGCTTCTCACGGGTATGCCCCGTAAAGTTTCAAATCATGCTGACTGAAACGTCCGCTTTGGCTAGGCCGCAAAAGAAGCTGCGGCTGTGAGTTCTTGTAAGCTGTTTTTTAGTTCATACTGGTACTGTTTGCATCTTTTGTGGATTCACAATGCCCATACACGACTAGCTGTTTGCAAGTTGTCGTTTGTCGAGAACGGTT